GCTTTGAACACATATGGCTGTATTTATATGTGTATATTATATATATACAGCCATATGCAGAGCCATATTTTAAGCTGTAGGAGTTATGAAAAGATATGGGCATGGTCTTGGGATACAAGATACTATAAGGTATTGATAAGGTGGATAGAGACAGGTTATTTAATAGCTCTGAAACCAGTACTGGGAAGAACAAATAAGTGTGAACACCTCAACAAGTTAGATATATATATGGAACAACTTCTTAATTGTATGGGTAATGCAAACCAAACCTAGTGTAGCCAAACTCTAGATAAAAATTTAAATGTAAATAAGATAAAATTAATTAGGCTGTAGAGGCATAATGTTGGGTTATTATTGGCTTGGAAATGGATCCTACTATTGCGAGTCTAAACCTAAAACACCTACATATACACACACATACACACATACACAACATTGGTGTTATATGACAGTGTTGGGAAGATGGGGACACCACGAGCATAGTTCTCATCTTTTAACTACACTTGGGGTAATTACACATTAATTGGTTGAAAATGGGGGACAGATACAAGGAAAATGAAAAGGAAATGTGTGAAACATTAAACGAAAAGTTCCAAAGTGTGTTTGTACAAAATGAGATCTTCAGAGATCCAGACACAATAAGAATTCCAGAGAACAGCATAGAGCACATAGAGGTGTCTAGAGACAAAGTGAAACAAATGCTCCTGGAGCTAAGTAAGAACAAAGCAGTTGGCCCAGATGGAGGTTCACCATGGGTTATGAGAGAATGTGCACCTGAGCTCAGCATTCCACTTCAGCTGATTTTTTAGACATCCCTGTGTACAGGAGTCGTAGCAGATGTGTGGAAAAAAGCTAACATAGTTCCAATCTACAAAAGTGGCAGCAGGGAAGACCTCCCTCAATTATAGACCTTTATCATTGATAAGTATAATAGTCAAAATATTGGAAAAAATAATATAAACTAAATGGGTAGAACACCTGGAGAAAAATGATATAATATCAGACAGATTGTATGGTTTTTGATCTGGAAGATCCTGTGTATTGAATTTACTCAGTGTTTATGATCGAGCCACAGAGATTTTACAGGAAAGAGATGGTTAGGTTGACTGCATCTATCTGGACCTAAAAAAAGCCTTTCGACAGAGTTCCACATAAGAGGTTGTTCTGGAAACTGGAAAATATTGGAGGGGTGACAGGTAAGCTTCTAACGTGGATGAAAAATTTTCTGACTGATAGAAAAATGAGGGCAGTAATCAGAGGCAATGTATCGGACTGGAGAAATGTCACAAGTGGAGTACCACAGGGTTCAGTTCTTGCACCGATGATGTTTATTGTCTACATAAATGATCTACCAGTTGGTATACAGAATTATATGAACATGTTTGCTGATGATGCTAAGATAATAGGAAGGATAAGAAACCTAGATGATTGTCATGCCCTTCAAGAAGACCTGGACAAAATAAGTATATGGAGCACCACTTGGCAAATGGAATTTAATGTTAATAAATGCCATGTTATGGAATGTGGAATATGAGAACATAGACCCCACACAACCTATAAATTTTGTGAGAAATCTTTAAAGAATTCTGATAAAGAAAGAGATTTAGGGGTGGTTCTAGATAGAAAACTATCACCAGAGTACATATAAAAAACGTTGTGCGAGGAGCCTATGCTACGCTTTCTAACTTCAGAATTGCTTTTAAATACATGGATGGCGAAATGCTAAAGAAATTGTTTGCGACTTTTGTTAGTCCAAAGCTAGCATGTGCAAAGACATGCTACTAAGTGGATCCCAGAACTGAAGGACAAGAGCTACGAGGAGAGGTTAGAGGCATTAAATATGTCAAAACTAGAAGACAGAAGAAAAAGAGGTGATATGATCACTATGTACAAAATAGTAACAGGAATTGATAAAATTGATAGGGAAGATTACCTGGAACTTCAAGAACAAGAGGTCATAGATTTAAACTAACTAAACAAAGATGTCAAAGAAATATAAGATAATTCACTTTCACAAGCAGAGTGGTAGACGGTTGGAACAAGTTAAGTGAGAAGGTGGTGGAGGCCAAGACCGTCAGTAGTTTCAAAGCATTATATGACAAAGAGTGCTAGGTAGACAGGACACCACGAGTGTAGCTCTCATCCTGTAACTACACTTAGGTAATTACACTTAGATAATTTACACATGCAAGGTTGGAATAAGTTAAGTGAGAAGGCAGTGAATGCCAAAATCATCAGTAATTTCAAAGGGTTATATGATACAGATTACTTGGAAAACAGGACTAACACTGCACTTAGGTAATTACCTCTTCAGTAATTATACACCAAAAAAACATAAAATAGGAAAGGTACAAGGACATGTTGCTACTGTATATGGCTTCTAAACTTTAAACAAGAGTCAGGAGGGAGGTTGGAAGCATTAAATATGCCTAAATTTGTTCACATAAATTGACCATTAACCATTAAACTGTGCAAAACATCATATGATGTGTTACATTGAAGGGGAGTATTAGCTTGAAAAATATTCAAATTATGTAAAAATTACTTAAAAATGTTAAACAAATCTCAAACTTATTGGCTTCAGCTTCATGAAACTTTCATCAAAATATTTTCAGAAATTGATTTTAGACGAATATTAAAAAAAAAAGTTTTGTTGATAAAGAGAACAGCTTCTATTAACTGAAACTGATGGATAATACAATTATAAAGAGATGCAAGCACCTGTCCAATGCACAAAGAAGAAGAATAGTAGTAAGAAGTGAACACAAAGTGGATATACAGCTGGTGCCTTTATAACATTTTAGAGTAATACATAATAAGAGTCATAAGATAAGTCATAATAAGAGAGTAATAACATAAAGAATAATGAATAATTATGTTATCATGCTCTATTTTGTTATATATCATATAAAGACATTGCTCAATATTATTATCAGTTACTTTAAACAATCTAAAAAATATTTTTTTTTTAGGGGAAATTTTTTTTTGTAGGTTTTTATTTTTTCCAACTTTGTTTAATATATGAATTTTTTTTTTAACCTTTACATCCTGGAGAATGCATATTCATCTCTAACTATGTGAAGCCAGAATTAAATTGGTCAACAACTACATCAGTTACAACTCTCAGAACTTGGGACTTTGAATATTTTTGGGCTGATTTTTTCACAGATTTCAAACTCAATTTTCCTTGTTTCTTTAGGTTGTTTTGATGATTATGGACCAGAATAGGGCTTTTTGACTTATATAATGTATACCCTAAATATATTCCCTAAATCATTATAATTATCCCTATATTTAGTTTTTTGGGGGAGGGTTATTTTTCTTGACTTCATTTCTACACACATTGACCTACAACTTTCATATACAGTACTTGAGTACAAATGCCAGACAATGTTTATTACAACATACAAGTAAATTCATGACTTAGAACTGCCTTATTCATTGTCGATAACTTTAACTTCAATTATATCTATAACTAGAATTTCAACTTCTGTATCCAAAAATCTAGTTTCTGACCGATTCTCACCATTTTTACATATAGTGTGCACAGCTGTCTGTTCTACAATTCCTTTAGAACTGATTTTTCATAAAATCTAAATGTTTGGAGTTATAAGTGTTTGTTGTCCAGATTTGCGCATATTTCAAATGCCATATTGACAATTTTTTTTTACAGTAAACTATACTGAAAACCTATATTCTAAATATATGAAAATGAAGATCATATGCTATTCTGAGAGCATAACACCAAATAAACAGTTGGGGATATTTTTATATTTTTGCAGCTGATTTCAAAATTTAAAGTTTTCAATATTCAATTTTATAATTATTTTTTATTTTCTTGTTTTTCAAGTTACACTGGTATCATTTAGACAAAGTTGGAGCATTTGCCTAGTAGATTATTCACAAGACATTTGAAAGAGTTTCAGAAAATTTAAAAAACTGAGTTCAGTGTCACATCGTATAAGGTTTTGCATAGTTTAAGGGTTAGAATATATATATACAGTATATATATATATATATATATATATATATATATATATATATATATATATATATATATATATATATATATATATATATATATATATATATATATATATATATATATATATATATATATATATATATATATATATATATATATTTCAATTCAATTTCATGCATATATAAAAATGCATGAAATTGACGATCACGAAACACTGATCATTTGTATGCGGAAAATCCACAAAGAAATGGGAAAGGAAGATGAACGTTTCGGCTGTTCAAAGCCGTTGTCAACACCAGACTGACTGGAGTCAGTCTGGTGTTGACAAATTAAACTAATGTGACTTAATTTTTGTTTCCTACCATTGACTTAGTTATTTTATTCCTCAGTACCTGTATATTAATTATTTCCTTAAGAAAATAGGTTTTCCTTTCACTGTTATATAGACTACTGAACAGTCTAGTATGTACTTACATTTGATGAGAGTAAACTGTTACAGTGAATTGATGGTGTAGAAGCTCTTTAGCTTTTTGGTGATGTTCAAACACACCATTCACTTGTCAACACGAGCAGGAGTAAGGTGCTAGTATGCCCATATTTATATATCATCTAGACATAGTTGTAATGCTTTCATAGAAGGCATATCAAAAGAATTAATTTAATAGATATAGAACTAGTTGCAGTGAATGATAATGTAGTACACAGGAGGCACCGAGAACAGTGCATAAATCTGTTTTAACCATCCGTGTTGCAAGATACAGTCCCAATTCTTATATCCTCTATCCCATATGAATACACTGTATTATACTATTAATCAAATGTGATTATGGGCTCTTGTTTAGGGAGCCCATCTGAAGCACAAGCATCTCACACACTTGGTATTTAGCTCATTTTGTATTTTTAACTCTCCTTAGTAGATAAACAGCTCATTGCAAGAGTGGTACTAGAATTCGGTCTTCAGTTACAGGGCTTCATAAATTTAAATTTTGCGGGCGATCTTGTACTGTTGTTGCAGACTCGTTGAGAAATTTTGAAGAGCCGTTGCGACCAAGCAAGCCCGCTCCTTCGCCTAAGCCACTACCGCCTCCCAAACCACCCAATTTGATGCTCACTCGTCCATCTCTCTCGCTACAGAATTCGACAGGTACAGAGGCTCCTGCCATGCATCTCAATCCACGCCCAGATTCGGCATTTGTTTTCCACTAGCACGCCAATGGAAACATTACTTTTAGATTTAAAGGATCACAGTGGTTTGTTTTCATCACTCACCTGCACCATCATTTACCTATACTGTATCATTTATTCCTCAGTCCCTTACCTGATCTGCCACATGCCAACAATAGACATTAAACAAACTCATTCCAGTTGAGCTACACACACACACACACACACACACACACACACACACAAAAAAAAAAAAATCACTTAAGACCCCCAAACGCAACTAATGCACAGCAATGTAGATAGAGCCTGGCTGATGCTTGGCTCTATGCCTATCATTGAATAATGTATGCTCTTCACCTTTATTAGCTTTTTTGAATACCGTGTTTGCTTCTGTGATATTACATGGTTTGGCACTGCTTAAACATACGGTATTAAGCATTATCCAATTTGAGTTTCAAATCAGCTTGTTGGAATTGCTCAATACATTTTTCAGATGAAATACTGGATTCTTACATGTCTTTATTTTAATTTAATAAAAAAAATAAGTACATATCCAATACCAATGTTAACAAATCAGTTCACTTAATATACAAGTATGCACAATATTGAAGATTTAAGATGTCATGAAAACAGGTGAGGTACCAGAAAGTGGAAAATAAATAGAAAATATAGACGATTATTGCTATAAAATGATGGAAAAAGACCTAAAGGATAAATTTAATGAGTCACCTAGAGTGCAATAAATCCTTGGTATTCATAGGTTCTGTATTTGCAGTAAGTAGTACTACATATTCTCACCTTTTTGTGTAGTTTCATGATAAAAAGATTAATAAAGTTTTATTAATTAAAATTAGTCAACAAACAGCATTAAACAAATTAAATTAAACCGCTTTATCAGACATATGCCGCTGGATCCAGTGATCCTTACCCAATGTATACGTGCCTCTATTACTGCTGCCATTTAATCAGGTCTGTATTAGTAAAGCTTGCCCCATGCTCACACATGCTCATACAAATTGTTCCTATTCATGTTCCTATTCATTCCCAGTTCAGTGACTGGTTAGATTTTGTGGTGGGGCATCATGGTTACCACAACCAGGGTCTCCCATTTTGCTTGATTCTGGCTCCCCAATCATTCACCAGATTGGTCAGCCTGTCGTCATAAACAAAGGGCAAAGTCCATTCCATGCACCCGCCAAACCACTCATACCCAAACCACTCAAACTTAGCTTGTTTATGAATGAAAACAGTTTACACACGACTCACGACCGATGACGTCCGAACACTTCTGAAACAAGTGCTTCGCTGAAAACTTTTGTTCGAACCATGACGCTGTAAATGCTTCACCCACATACTGTACTACAAATACAAATAATCGCCAACAGAACCTAAACACCTAACCTAACCTAACCAATGCCTAAATATGCACAATATCCTAATATATAATAATATTAATTTATATATGAGAAAATTCCTGTTTTGAATGGACAGCATGTTAAAATTGATAAATGCATTTTTGGGGTCGACCGCTGGATGGAATGGACTTGGTCTGAAGACGGGTTAGATTGATAGTATGTTGTGGTTTGTCGCCTTTGGATGTTAGTGGTTTGTGTCTTAGCCTACCTTGCCGAATGGCTGAGTTAGGCTCTTGCCAGTCCGTGTGTCTGCAACCCAGTGATCTTGTTCTTTCCCAGCTCACTAGATTTGAGTTTCTGGTGAATTGGCGAACATTCTTTATGGTTCCGTCACAGGTTCAGACCTGGTTGGGCCTGGTCTAGGATTTTCACTTGGCCTCCCTTTCCCTTCTGCCTGTGTCCCTGCTGTGTGGATGTGCATCTCTGGCTGGTGGCAGAGAGTCTCTGGAGTCATTCATAATTTTTTTGAGCAGCTGTGCTGGAATCTGAACTTTGTCTGTGTGGAGTACTCTTTGGGCAGGATTTGGCTCTGGATACTGTACTGTTTTCATCAGTTCTGTCCCTTTCACCGCCTCAGGGACCATCGGGTGCAGGCTCCAAAGCCTTTTGACAGATTCTGACTCACCAGTTTCCACTTTGGGATTTTTACAATCTGCACCATGATGCATCCCTTTTCCAAGACTTGACTTTTTAATGGAAACCTCAGCTTTGGGATGGCCTAATGAGTGACCATCACTCATTGGTCCACTCAAGGTCATTGGGTGGGTTCATTGAGCTGGGCACACAGCAAGGTGTGCAAGTTTGAAGCAGCTTCACATACTCTGCAGTTGCTTCATCTCTTGGCAGGCTCCGTGGTCTGGCTCCACTCTGGCTGCTCGACAGTAGTTTATTATCTGAATTATGGGTGGTGGGGTCATTTTAATCTCTTCCCTTGTGGGGCTGGACTCTGCAGGTAGCTCATCTTCTAAATTCTTGAGGTTTCATTCTTCATCCTGGCAGGCAAGCCTCTCTTTTTTTTTCACCCCATCGCCAACAACGACCATCCATGACGTATCTTTCTGGTGGCTTTGCAAGACATTCGGCTACACAGAGGTGGGTTTTTTCATTGGTGTGGAACCAGCAGCTTCTGATTTATGTGTCCTAGTTTCCTGATCACAAGGCTCTCATGAAGGATACCTTTTCACTGGGATGGGATTAGTGGTGGTCTCTTTATCTTTTCTCTCTGGTTTAACTCTTGCTCCAGGTTGTCCAGGCTGGAAACATTTTTCAACGAGGTTCTCTTGTTGGCCCCCTTTTAGCCAGCCCAGCTATGGTTTCTGCTCTTTGGGCTTGTTATCTGAAACCATATAATTTTTCACAGGTCTTCCTCTTTCACATGATGAGTCTGAAGATGTGTCTTGATGTTTTGAGGATCTCCACCAATTGATTTGTTTGGAGATTTTGATTTGTACACCGCTGTTTGTACAGTCTGTGGGGTGGCTGATCTTTTAGTGTCTCCCTGTGGCTTTTTGTTGCTGTGACAGTGCACAGTCCTGGTGCTCCTTCCACCTTTTTTTTTTCTCTTTGTTGCTTGTCGTCAGTTTTTGTACCTTCACATTTCTTCCAGAAGATCAGGGTGTTACTTTTTTAAAAGGTCCTGGATGGGGGTTGTTTTCTTTTCTTACAGCATTCCTCTTCCTTTCTGGCTGAGAATGAGACAGCTGGTTTATGTAAGGGGGGTCCTTTGGTGATTAATACTAGTTGGTTTGGTTAGGTGTGCAATCATTTATTGTGTTTGGTTGTGGCCATTCACCATTATCTCTGTGCCATTTGGATCTGATGTCATTGGTTCCTTCTTCCAGAATCTGTTCCTTCTTCCAGCAGCTGTCTTTAGTATCATCAAACTTAGTCAGCCTGCAGTCTACCTACTGGTCCGTAATGTTTGTAAGTTTGTGGCTCATTCTTAATTTTTTCTAGCATGTTTTGGGCAGATATTTGGGCTTGGTGGGTGTTTTTTGCAGTTGAACAGTGTGCTGGTGGCTCATTATTTAGTAAACATTCTTGGTTAGTGCTGGACTCGTGTGGATTCAGTGTGTTTAATTTGTTGCTAATTCCCCTTTCAAGTGGGTTACTTTCTGCAGCTCTCTTCCACCCCTGGTGAGTACTCATTTTATTTTTACTCAATAGTGACATAGCACCAAGCATTTTGGTGCTATGAAAATAACATAGCATTTTCTGGGAGGGGCTCCTATTGAGGGCTCACCAATAGAAGCCCTCCCAGAAAATCTGCATTGAATATAATGAAATGTCCTTGGTGGGTCCTTGGGGACCCTCCCTTTCCAGTTCAGGGGCTTCATCTTCCTGGCTGATTGATTAAGGTATATGGCTAGGTGATTGAGGAATAAATAGTAGACTACTATAATGGATAAAACGATGTTTAAAATAAAGCAAAGGGTTGTCCTAAACAGAAATGAATCTGACAGGAGAAACATTGTGAATGGGGTCCTGCAATGCTCCATTTTGGGTACAACCATTTTTGTCAATACATCAATGTCAGAAATGAAAATATTACAAACACAATCACTGAATTTGCAGATGACACTAACATTTATAGTAAAGTATGAAGTGAAAATGATATTGAGGCCTTACAAAGATATTTATATGAACTCCACAAATGGTCAGAAGATTGACAAATGCTTTTTAATACTGAAAATGCAAGACCTTGAATGTGGGACTTATGTTGTGCTTTGACCATTGCCCCTCCTGTGGGGTCCTGTTCCCTTTTTTCAATTGAACGGTCCCTTTTTCTGTACGGTTGTCTCGCTTGCAAGATTCTCTCTTGCTTCATGTTACCAATATTTCTCCTTGTGTCATTCCATCCTTACCCCCATTTAGGGTCCCCCTTTCAAAATTTTGCAAAACCTTGATCCACATGACAAAGGCTTTTACCCCTCCTGCAGTTCTGAAATGCCTTTTCCTTGCATACTTTTCTTCACACTCCCACTCTGTTGTCATCTTCACAGATGGGTCTAAGTCTGCTAATGGTGTAGGTTACTCCTTTGTATTTCCTGACCACACCTATATGTGCCGTGTGCCCCTGGATACTAGTACCTTCACGGCTGAACTTTATGCCATTTTGTATGCTCTTCATCAGCTGCTTTCTCGCTGTCAACATTCCTTTGTCATTGTAGTTGACTCACGCAGTGCCCTCATGGTTTTAGGCACATGGTTCTTGTATGACAAAAAATCCTATCCATCCTATGGTAGTCGAAATTCAACATTGGGTGTTTCATATCTCCAGCAGATTTAAGACAGTCAAGGAGCTGGGTACCCAGCTATATTGGCATTTCCTTAAATGAGCTTGCAGGCACTGCAGCTAAGGAGGCTCTCTGCACTTGCCCTATTTCCCGCAAATTTCTTCCTTATTCCGACTTCTACCCGGTCATTCATTTCTCAATCCTTGCCCATTGGCAGGGTTGTTGATCTTCTGTTGCTGGTAACAAACTGTGAGATGAGAAAATCTATAGGAGCTGTTATGAGGAGTTGAACATATGCGGTGGGTGTTCCTACACACACACGCTCTAGC